CATTTATTATCATCCCTTCAAGATACCCGCTCCCTTTTGACCTTATGAAGGGAGCGGGAGAGCTCTAAAGATTTTTCGTTTTTGTCTGTGGTAGCCGTCACCAGTAATCAAACTCCTGAACCTGGCTGTTCATCCCAGCTGCTTTTATGTTAAAGTGTTTATCTCTGGGTTCTTCCAGGTTCTTTGCTCTTTAAAACCTGGGTCCATTCGAAATGTCAGCTGTAAACAGGGCTTTTCTTGATAATAATTTTCGAATGTGTTGTTGTGTTTGTCTTTTCAGGTGTCTGTACACAGAAGGGAACCTTCAGATGAAGTTAATGATCCGATACTGGACTTGGCAATCCTTACCATGTCGAATCACTTTATAGGCAATTGTATGTCAAGCTTCACTTCGTTTGTGACTCGCTATCGTGAAGTCAATAATAAACCAACCTCATTTTGGGCTTTTAAAGATAAATAGCAAAACTAAGAAAAATCGCTTTTTTTTTTTCGTTTCTGTATGAGGTTGATTTTGAGATCAAAGAATTTTTACATCTTGACAGTGTTAAAATTACTGCAGCTGCCAGAGTCCTTCTTTTATTAGATTTCTCGATTGTCTATGAATTAACTGCAAATGGTGTTGTAAACTAATCTCGATATGCACAGCCTCTCAGTTTTTCGTGGCACATTGTAGTTTCAATTGTAACTTAGTATAGGATATTTATAGATAGGGAATATTACAGAAACAAATTTCATTTGAATAAAATTTCCTTTCCAGAAATGGTTTTTTTTTTCCCACGTTATCAGCCATACTCGAATTTGAATTTGCGCCCGTTTTCGTTCAGTTCCGTCTTACCTCGGACACTTTAAGGACTGTTCATACTTATTACGACATAATGACTCCAATCGCTCTGTCGAGGGGTTAACGATCGAAACGTTGGCTTTAGAATCTCTAAACGGGGGAAAGGGTAAAAAACAGGGAAACCGGAAACTCATTTAGAAACTGCTGAAAAAAAAAAAAGAAAAGAAAAATCTAACCAACATTGCCCCCACTGCCTGGGGGAAAGGAAAGAGGAGACTTCAAAGAGAAATCCCTGAAATAATTTCTATCCATCACACCCATAATCAATTTAAAATGACACTAACTGATTCACGTGGAACCGAACACGGCAGGCTGAAGTATAATAGAATCGAGTTATACAGAATTACCAACTCTCTTGCACTCGAAACCCGTCAGTCACGCAAAGGAGGTCACGTAAGACTTCCGCAAATAAATGATACAAACCACAACGCTTCAAAATAAAACAAACAAGCGAACAATATTTTTCAAAGGCAAGTATAATCGCGAATAGCATCATTAAATATGGTGGCCATGACCTGCCTGGACCAGAAACGCAGAACGCCACGCAATCAAGTGTGACATCATGAATTTTATACATTTAATACATTATTCTACCCTCCCCCACCCCCAAATTACCGTTATTCCATGTGTCTCGTACCCAGATCGTAATTAATTGTTAGCATGTTATCTCTCCTTCGAAAGCGGTCGGGTCTAGAGTAAGCTGAAGTTTTACTTTATGATTTTTTACACAGTTTTACGTCATACAAATATTGCTTTGTACTTTATAGCGATCGAATATGGATCCAATCACACTCACAAATGTGTAGTTGACGTTTCTCCTTACATACCCACCTATCCGTCTATGTTTTTCGTTTTTTTTATTGTTTTGTTTTGAATTTTTTTTTCAGACTTTGTTTTGATTTGTTTTGGTTTAACATTCATTTCTTCCGTCCTAGTTTTCGCCGTATTAGAAACTCGCCGCCAAATCCCTTATTCAAGTACGCTGCTTTAATAGCTTTAAATTCATCTTCTCGTGATGTGGTATATGGCCGGCCGATGGTGACCTCATCGTTGCGGGAAAAATAATTCGGTTGATTAATGCTGATTAGCACCTGGTTCAAATTGTCGTGTGGTAAAACACGTACGGCTGACACGAAGAGCACGAAAGGATCTAACGTCACCTCCTTAATTATTCATAAGTTTTATACAATAGACTGTTTTTGATCGGAGAGTCGCTTCTAAATATTGATTACCATTTATTTTCCTATAAAATACGTTAGACTGAGCTGGGTTATTTCAAGAAGAAAGGTCAAGTTTGAGTCGCTTATCTCTGGCAAACGTTAAATTCTGCTGACGTCTTTCGTTTCACGTATTCCGTTTTCTAGTAATTTCCGGTCGAATACATCAATATTCATCGAATACCATCTCCCGCCAAAAGGTGCCTCACCCTTAGCAACAGAACAAAACATCACTAAATATAGCATCGATGAACGTCAGGCTTCTGTTTGACGCGTTCTGATTGGTTGCTACTTTGCGACACGTTTATTCTAATACATAACCACCCCTGACGTAATGAACGCTGATTGGCCGACTGCATCCGAACGATCTCGATTTCACAATCGTGACGCTCTTCAACGTCTATTCATTCACGAAACTTCAATCGACTATATCGTGTCGAAGTTTCGTCGTTGAAAAATTTAAATTTAACCGGCAAGGTTACTCATCTATTCGATTCATAACAAACTTGTCGAGTGTATCATACTGTTGAGCACTTCTCTACGAACATGGATTGCGAAGCAACAAGAATTCTTCAAGTATCTCTGTCGAAAATAACGGACTCTCGCCGTCGGCGTGGCGGTCCTGTACTACGACGTAATTTATTAGTTTCCCACGTCTTAAACAACGTGTTAACCTCGACAGACTCAGCTTATTGTACGTACAGATCGAAAGTGGAGATAGATATGGACATAGATGCTGTTGAAAACGAGCTTGTGCCTTTTGATAAATCGAAAATGACGCCCAATAACCCAGCTGGACCTGACGCAGGAAATGCGAGACATACAGTGCGTTCCGCGGCAAAATCAATTGAAAAAGTCACGGAAATGGAACAAAGCGTGCCTAGCAAGGACAGGAAGGAAAGCGTAGAGCTTATGAACCTTGAGAAAGCCTTAATAGGCGATAAAGAATGTGAGAAAGTCAGGAAAACCGAACTTAAACGTGTCACTGGTTCGAAACGGCTGCGATCTTCAGCGTATGGTAATGAACCTTGTGACAGCCACGCGGTTGACAACAAACGTTTGAAAACTGAAAGAAATGAACTGCCAAAAACGGAACCGTCTCATCAAGAACCCATGGACATATCAGGACTTGTTAATGTGTTCAGTAGTAGTTTTTCTGGACTATCTAGTATTCCTAGAGCGACCCCTTCGCTCAAGTCAAGTTTGGACTCCTTTCAATATATTTCTCCCCCTGTTCAATCAGTTGGCGGTGTATTCGGCTGGTCGCAGACCATCGTTGAAGCCTTTTAGTTTAGTTTTCATTTCATATTTCCAAATTTTTTCTTGTTTCAACATATTTGCCTTTGTTTATTGCTGCCGTGCAACCACTGGCGACCGTTTGCAGCCACGCTCGCGCAAATGTTTTGGTTATGATGAAGCCAACTCATTTAAAACTTACGTAATAGCTTTTGCGATAACTATCTATGGTTGACCTTTTCTACTTCATACTTAGTAAAAGCGATGGTAGGTTATACGATCTGATGCGTTATTTTTCAAGTATTTAGAGTTCATAGTCGCTAATTTGTATTCTGACCGTTTTGTAAGAGTTCAGTAAGTTTGCGTGCCTTTTCGCTGGCCCTTTGAAAAGTGTTTTCTAAAAGCTTTGAACATTTTTATAGCATGAACCTAGTTAAATTACTGTGCATCTGCTATATTTTTATTCATCTTTTGAGGGAGAAAATTATGAAATATTTGCTGAATGTGTATAAATTGGTGGAATATGTCTTGGCATGACACTGAGGTTTGATAACGACTGTGTAAATAAGAGAGTTCTTTCTATGAAATTCATGTATACGAAAGAGAAATATTATATAAGAGAAATAAATATTTTGAAAGAATTATCTGTTACTGGTCGTTTGTGCGAAGAAAGTAGCATTCAACCGTTGGGTACATGTACAGGATATTTGCATCATCATTGTGCTCGTGGGATCAAAGTAAGGATGCTAGATTCTAAAATTAACCCCTCGCTGCAGATCACATGCTTGGAAGGTCAAGTTCGGTATTGTTCAGTTTCTGTTTACATTACGTCATCGCCATATTCGTGACCTTCTACGGAAGTTATGCTAATTGTAAAATGCCTCGGACATTTGCCTTACTGAGTGAGACTAACAGGATTTATTTTAAATAATGATTTTTGGAATTTTTAGGATATTTTCCATTTTACAAACTAGTAGAGTTTTCAGAATATTTCTATATATTGTCCTCTGAAATATCAAGATAGATAGGTGATCATTTCAATCATGCAAACATATGTAACACTGGCTGAAACCAGGAGCCCATTATTAAGTAATGGGCTGCTGAAACCCAGTGTACTTCGATTTTCTTTCTTCCCTTTTACGCTTTTTTTGGCACGTGGAGCTCTGTGTATTGTTACTGGTATGCATATCTTTCCTTCCTCATCCTTGAATAAATATTTTCCTATTACATGTATGTCCTTATATGGATCTCTCACACTTTTTTTCAAATCATTAAGTAGTGTACAGATGTAAATCAACACTACCTTAAAAACAAGAAACAGAGCTGCCATCCTAAAGGAAATAAAAACTTATCAAAGTCAAGGATCCAATTTGAAATCAAGGAGCCTGCAACAAAGGGTTTCCCCTAATTCCATCTCTCTGTGTTCCATTTTTTTTCTCATGCTTCTCCCCATTACGGGCATGGGATAGGGACATCCTGTAAACCCTTTGGACCCTAGGAGCGACCAGCATTTAATTTCTCCTTACATCAATACTTCTGAATCATTCATTAGGAACATGAGAATAATGGAAATGATTTCTAACCTATGAAGCTTTGATTGTTAAATAAATTCTTCTAGTCAGCACTAAAGGAAATGTATGGAGAAGAGTATAGAGAATATGAGGTATAAAGGGTTACAAAACATATTACGACAACTGAAATTTGTGACAAATCAAAGAAACTTACTGAATTGTGAACTTGAGAGGAACAATTGAATAATCGCTATTAGTCGCAAATCAATTTTAGAACAGTGTTATGGTCGCAGGAAAAATTCATTCTAAGTTTCCTGTTTGTTCAAATTTTATTGCAGTTACAGCCTCTTGTGTAGATACTGAGAACATCTTTTTCAAAGGGTGATTCTGAGAGGATATCATTGTTAACAAAAACATATGTAATTTAATTCTTAATTATTTGTAATTAGATCCAGCCAAGCAGCCTAAACTTCTTTTGACTGAAAACCTACTCCTTGCCAGGGAAGTGGGGGGAGGGGGGAGTAAGGGAGGTACATGGATCGATTTTTTCTGGGTATATGCAACTGGCCACTCAGAACCCATACCCCATATTCTTTGCCCAACTATAGACCCTGTCTTAGTCACCTTTGGTAATACAGTTTACAATAATACAGTAACAAATTTTGAACTGTGAATCTTCCCATTTTTGAATCTCTGCTTACCAGAATTTTCTTTCCCTAAAAATCCCAAAAATGTGTGACCCCATTCTAAAAACTCTTATAAAAGTGTGACCCCATATTGGTCAATCAAGTGATGAAAAGTGCAACCCCATCCAGCAGCACTTCCCCCTTAGTCTATTACAAGGAAGACCCCCCCCCCCCCCAATCCTTGTCTCAGAAGCAAATGGTGCTCTGAATCAGAGTCACCTGTGATCACTTGATGACCTCTTCTGTCACTTTTTCTTAAAACTTGGTGG